TACATCATAGAAGTCTAAGGTTATACAGATTTTAACCACATTTCTTGCTTTGAACTCCCACACAGTATGGCAATCCTGTTAAGATTAGCAAACTACCTTTTTTTAAAGCAACCATATGCTCGTACACATTTTGTCTATGTAAGCATAGTTCATAGCTAGCACATGAATGCATCATGTGCACAAAATGTTTTAATTTGCCTGACCTTTAATCACTTCTTATCTGATAGGTGTTCTTCATGACAGCTTTTGTAAAGTTAGAGATCGGAGTTCTAGCTGTGTTTCTACTGTCCTCTTCCTAAGACTCTCTCAGAATACTACATACACTACCTTAACATCAGGACAGGCATCCTTGCTGTTATACTAACATGACTCAAGTTCTTCTGGTTGCCCTGCTGCACGTACTTTTTTACAGGGACAAGGTGGCGATGAATCTGTGTTTGATTTTATCCAAAATAGACTTGGATTTTCTCAATTAGTCAATTAGCATGCAAAATTACTTTATCTGAGTGAAAAGGAAGTAAACATGCTACGTTCTTAATAGATCTTGGGTTTATCTTTATATTTTTCTGTCTCATGATACCAAAAAGCTGAACAATTGCTTCACAAACTTACAAAATGGACCAGACAGTGTATTCCTGCATGTTACAACTTTCCTGTAGGGTTTCTCCCTCCAAATAAAAGGGCACATTTCAGCTGAACGCAGACAATATCATCAGCCTTTCCCAGAAGTGTTTTGTCTCTCAGATGCCTGAGATTTCTCTGGCTGATTTGCATGAAACATTATGCACTTGGCGAAACAGTGGAAGGGGCACCAGGTTCAGAAGAGCAGTACTGTAATTCCTATTCGATCGTCTTTGGCACTCCAGCACTGAGGGGTGCCACAAGCCCATCAACTGCACTAAAAGACACATGGTCACATTCAGAGAAAAAAGAACCATCGCTTTCTGCACAGTAAGTGAGATTCTTCAAGATGTCGTAATCAGAGTAGTTTCCACCATCTGCTTTCCACTATCCCTTCCTTTCAGACACCCTGCATTATGAACTTCTGGTTAGGAGAAGCTGAGGAGAGGCTGTGGCCACCCCATGCTGTTGGTCCCCTGAAGAGGGTGTAAGGAGGCACAGATGGCCTCAGTGTGAAGTGCTTGCCCAGAGATTTCCAACTGGGAGCCACGTGAAGATGCACATGTACAGTTGAATCCACCACACCGGAAAAATACAGTTATGAGACGATAAGTCTGTCCTGTTTCTAAATACTCATTAACAACTCTTGATGCCAAAATAGTCAGAATCAATTCCAGTGCAATCAGGAGTTGACACCCAAAGCGTGAGACACGTACTTTGTGAGATTTTGAAAGAGTAGAGATTTGTCCACGAATGACCATTTTTAAAAGCAAACTGCAAAGCCAAGCTAGAGAAAATGTTTTTCACTGTTTTCTTGTAATGTTTTAGAAGAATGGCCTAGAGGGTGGAGTCCTTTTTTTACTGCTTGTTTTTCACTTCCCTCTATTCTCAAGAGATTTTTGGCAGGATCTTTGGAGGATATGAATTGTGATGTCACCAAAAAAATGAGCCTGGACCACAGTTCTCCCTCAACAAACTATCCGAAATCCTTCTTTGTCTGGATGCACTCCTACAGACGAGCTTGCTTAGCTTGGCCTGCTTCGAATTCTTGAGTTATTTGGTTGGAGTAGAGGTGTGTTGCCAGAGCTGGGAGGGAAGAACCGGTGTCCAGAGCCAGGGATTGTCCTTCTGGGGAGGAACTTGGCTAAAGACCCATTTGTATAAAGCCTTGCAAAAACCTGCAGCCAGCTCTGCACGTCAGTTAAATGTGTATCATTTTTCAACACGGTTAAGATTAATTGCAGACAACAGCACTAAAAATACAGTTATTTGTAACACATTGTATGAAATGTGATGCATATAATGTTTGTTAGCAGTACACTGGCAGACAGAGAGCACCAGACAGGGTCCCTATTCCCAAAGAAGAGATCAGACAGAAATTCATGTCTTTCACCACAGGCAGATATTTATTTACAAGACTGATTTTCTCTGTAGCGTTATAAACTACAATTAGCTTTCAGACACTGGCATGAATTCTGGACACACTGAGGAATTCAAGAGAAATATTGCCTTGACTTATAAAGACAGAATTTTGACCATTACTTTGGGTACGTAAGAAAGACTAGAAGGATGACCTGGGTCATAGAGTATAGAGCTCTGCTATAAGCTAACATTTAATGTAATTCCGTTTATAATTATAATGATTTTCTTATTAAAAATGTCTGGTTTACTTGATCCCATAATTCTGATTATTGTTTACTGCTGTAATATTTGTTGACAGGAACCATATTCTTTCACAAGCTTTATTTATCTGGGCTTAAAATGGTCTGTTTCTTCCATGAGTTTCTTCTCATATAATAAGGCTTTGATTCCCTTGACCGTCCTCCTAGCCTTTCTTCACACGTTTTCCATTTTGATGTAATCTTTCCTAAAGACGGATAGGCAGAATTGTGCTCAGTACTCCAAGGCTTTGCACTGTAGAATTGATAACTACCTTAAGATCGCCTACCTTAATATGACTGATGCATCCTAAAATGTCATTTAACTCTTTCTTTTTTGCTTTGAATTGTTGGATTATAATCACTAGTCAGGAATATAGGTTGTTCCCTGCAAACAACTGAGTTACTGGAGGGGGTTGTCTTCTCTACATGCTTTCAGCTGCTTTTTACTTTTCCACATATGAAGATCTGCCAGTGGTACTCATGTAAGCTCTGTCTGCTGTGTGACGAAGTAAGTGTGATCATGAACAGGTTAAATAATACTTCAGCTTATTTTGATAACTGCAACAGGTGAGGAGGTGGATGCTTGGACAGAGGGAAGGAGGCTGTAACCGCCAGACATCAGGAGCACCTGGGAACGACGGCTTTGTAACTGGTACAGGGAGAGCCAGAGGAGACAGACGCTTGTCCTTACTAGACTCTGCAGGAAGTAATTTGTGAAGATGGATAGTCTTGAATATAATGCTGCTGCTTACTGAATTTTGCTCCCTTTAGATGTGCTTGGAGCAAAACTAAGAATGAGACAATCATGTGAGGCATTTTATGATCCAGTGGAGAGAGATGGTCTGGGAATGACCAGGCGTGCACTCCCTGTTCTGCCACCAGCTTGCTGTGTAATTTGGGCAAGTCATTTCATCCTTCTGTACTTCAGCTTCTCCATCAAAAAGAAGTAAATGAGATTAGCCTTCCCCTGTGCAGCACAGCGACCTACAATGAAAGGGTCTTACTTATTTCTCATTAAGTAATCAATCACAGAATCGTTTAGGTTCGAAGGGACCTCTTGAGATCATCCAGTGCTTGAACACTCTCACAGTAAAGAAGTGTTTTCTTCTATTCATACGGAACTTCATATGGTATAATTTGTGCCAATTGCCTCTTGTCCTGTCGGTGGACACTATTGAGAGGAGTCTGGCTCCCTCTTTTTCATCCCCTCCCATCAGGTATTTATAAACAGTGATCATATCCGCCCTGAGCCTTCTCTTCTCCAGTCTAAACAGTCCCACTCTCTCAGTCTCTCCTTATATGAAACATACTCCGGTGCATAAATCATCTTGGTGGCCCTGCACTGGACTCACTCCAGTAAGTCCATATCTTTCTTGAACTGGGGATCCCAGGACTTGACACAGCACTCCAGGTGTGGCTTCATTAGTCCTGAGCAGAGGGGAAGGATCGCCTCCCTCAATCTGCTGCTAGTGCTCTGTCTAATGCAACCCAAGATGGTGTTGGCCTTCTTTGCTGCGAAGGTGCATTGCTGGCTCATGATCAACTTTGTGTCCATCAGGACGCTCAGGTCCTTCTCTGCAGAGCTGTTTTCCAGCTGGTAAGCCCCCAGTGTGTACTGGTGCATAGGGCTGCTTCCTCCCCAGATGCAGGTCTTTGCATTTCCCTTTGCTGAACTTCATGAGGTTCCTCACTGCCCATTTCTCCAGCCTGTTGAGATCCCTCTGGATGGCAGCGCAACCATCTGGTGCATCAGCCACTCCTTCCAGTTTTGTATCATCTGTGAACTTGTTGAGGATGCACTCTTGCCCAGTGTCCAGGTCATTAATGAAGATGCTGAACAGTGGTGGAACCAGTATTGACACCTGAGGTACACCACTAGTGACTTGCCTCCAACTGGACTTCGTGCCACTGATCACACCCCTCTGGGCCTGGCCATTCAGCCAGTTCTCAGTCCCCCTCACTGTCCACTTACCTAACCTGCGCACTGTTAGCTTGTCTATGAGGGTATTATGGGAGACAGTGTCAAAAGCCTTATTAATGTCAGGGTAAACAACACCCACTGCTCTCCCCTCACCCACCAAGCTAGCCACCTCACTGTGGAAGGCTATGAGGTTGGTTAAGCATGATATGCCCTTCATAAACCCAATCTGACTTCTCCTGGTCGCCTTCTTGTCTTTCATGTGTTTGGCCATTGTTTCCAGGAGGATTTTCACCATCATGTTCCCAGACAGCGAGAAAAGGTTGACCAGTCTGTAGTTTCTCAGACCTTCTCTCTTGTCCTTCCTGAAGACATTCCGTTCTTCAGGAACTTCTCTCATTTGCATGTCCTCTCAAAGATAATTGTGAGTAGCCTGGCAGTGACATCAGCCAGCTCCCTCAGCCCTCGTGGGTGCAGCCTGACGGGGCCATCAGTCAAAAAACTTATGAAACAAAAAGACAACATAAGAAAGCTGTCCTTTTTGATAATCAGATGTTTTTTTACACAGACTGCGTATTTGTTATACAAGGAGCTGTTCAGTGTCTGGACTACAACATAATTAATAGGAAAATGTGACTCATGTTTTATTCCAAGTTCTGATACACCTGCTGTGCAGTGAACTTTTGCACTTGGAGTATGAAGCAAACCTGTAGTGCTTGTCAGTTCATTAACAGTATTTCATTTTATTAAATTAGAGACTTTTGCAAAAATCATACTCTGCACAAATAATTATCCTCGGTATGCTTTTCCCTTTAGTTTCAGGGGTGGAATCAGTTGGTATCTATATTAATTTTTCTTTCATATGTTAAGTGATCAAAATACGATATACCTTTCTGTCTCTCTGTACAATACTTTTGCATTTACAGACATACTTTTGAGTAAAACAGATTAATTGGATAATAACCTCAGGAAAAAATAGTTCTGCAAATTAACTTGTAATGATATTCATCTGTCTTTCATATCAGACAGTTATTTGATTTATCCTGTATTCTTCAGGATTTTAAAAGGTTGCTTATTGCTACTGCCACTTTTGATATTAAAGGAGTGCAACCCAACAGATCCTTTTAGGACTCAGTCTGAACTGTTTTCTGCTGGAGTATCAGTCCCTAGGCTGTGTCTTTATGTGGAAGGTTAAGGGAGACTGCAGTTTGCTTCACCGAGGAAGGAATACCTCCAGCACTTGGGCTGATTGCAAGGTGCTAACGGATGCTGCATTTGGCCATAGCTGCCTTTTGGATGGGTGCACTATTCTGTGTGTAGATTAGGGAGGGGAAAACAAACTGACTCTCTTTTGGTGCGGGGGGTTTTTTGTTTTTTGGGGTTTTTTTTGTTTTGTTTTGTTTTTTTTGTTTTTACTGGCAGATGCAATACCATTTACTAAGTTTGTATTAAATACATTGTTGTGTTTTTCTTTTTTCCCTCATTTTTGCAGATCTTTCAATGGAAGAATGCTGTGACAAGGGTGTTGAATGGGCAAATAAAAACAGAATATGTACTTCTCTACCGTTAATACCCGAGGCCAGAGAATGCAGGTATATAGTTATGTATTATATATTAAACTGTAGTTTATATTTTCATGTAAAACCATGGGAATGGCAGATATGAAAGCTGCTTTAGAAGATGAAGCACCCAGCTCTTCAATCCAAGTTTTTCAAATCCACACCTAGCCTTGGGGAGTACCTACTGAGTACCTACTTTTCTTCCATTACGTCCCTTAAATTTTTGCTGTTGGTCTAGTATAGAGTCACCCGGCCCTAATCTGTTCGACATGTACTGTCTCTTAGAAGTTTTTCCACTGTACTCTACTCACAGGGCTTGGACTCTGCCTACATCTCAGCATGGCTCCCCTCATGTCAGCAGACTTCTTCAGTTTGTACTGATTGTGAATCTAGCCCAACGATGGTCCAAATTCTTGGGCAAATGTTTATCAAGAAACACAACAGATCCTGTACATGAATAATCTATAGATTGCATATGTACCTATGTATGTATGTTAGACAGCCTTGTAAAACTCTTTCTCCTGTGTGGTGCCACACAGATAATTGTCCTGCAGTTCTCGGTTGAATTGCTGGATAGGGGAACTTAAAGCTTAAGTCAAGGAGATTCCTAGTTACGTAGTGTGTCCAACTTCTGTCAAATGTATTTGACTGTAGAAAATAGTAACCTTTAGTTAATAAATAGATTTCTTAATTCTACTGACATTTAATAGGATACTATTTTCTATTATGTAATCTAGCAAATGAAATAATGAAGTTAAATGTTAAAATTATTTGCAGAGTAATATTTTGGTTACACTGAATCTCTTCTATGGTTGGGGCATTTGGATTTTTTATGTGAATGATAGTTTGCGTTATTTTTGCTGTTAAATGCACTTGTTACATTTAATTTGTGGAGCTAACAATTTGTGACTGGTAGTTTGAGGGGCAGTTTCACAGAGGACTTTGTATTTAAAACACATTACGTTGCTCCCCTCTATCTTTTCAAATGGATTGCAAAGTGATTTAACCTTGCTAATTGAAGAAGTGTTGGATTGATCTTTATTACGGAAAGAATGTGTCTTGCAGGCAAGTCTGTCCATGTTTTCTGACTTTTGCATTTATATTGGCATAGAAAGCAGTCTCTTACGCAGAAGAATTGACAGATAGGACTTAAATCCCAATTTAGGAAATACTTGAAGAGTCAGAAGAGTTACAGACAAAACAGAGGCAGGAAAAACAGGAAACCAAGTTTATTGAACAATCTGGGAGTGAGAATCTTGATGATTTAATGATCATTTGATTAATGTGAGTTGCGATTCTGCTTTAAATGTAATTTATTCTTTTAAAAATTGCCATTTTAGAGAGTCTTTAGGACTTCATAGGAACTGAAGAAAGCTTACTAATACTTCATCTAGCTTTTGTGCATAACTGATATGTAATTAAGAAAATTATAGTGATGTAATGGTAAATCAGAAATGGGTAAATGCACATATTCTGTGAGAGGTGTGAGCACTTATTGACAAAAAAAAGAAGTGGATAAATTCAGTTCAGTTGCATTTATTCATGACTGTACGATAAATAAACATAGCCCCCCCTGAAGCTCGGCTTCACTATAAAAATGAGTAAGTAGAATTGGCACCTTTGACTACTTTCTTTAATGGCGATATTATGTTACTCCAGTTATGACTGCAAACTGGCATATCTGTGAGAGGTACAGAAAAATCACTTTATGATGCCATTTCAGACACAAAAGTGGGGGCCAAATTCTACTCCTGATTGCTGGTGTAACTGGAACCAGAATGAACAGTGCGGGAGCATGATTCACTTTGCGAGCACTTGAGGGTAATGACACTGATTTTGTACATTTTTTCCTACTGCACAGAGATGCAAGCAAAACCAAAACCAGGTTCATTGCACTTGCTGAGATCTAGGCAGGTGAGAGTATGGCACAGGATGCCTTCTTGGTTACAGATTTTCAAAAGAACTTGCTTCCTCTTTAGACACCTGCATGCAGCGGGAGCTGCTAGGGGCCAGATACCTGTCGTTTACGTGGTCGCTTAAACCCCAGCTGGGATCTTTTGGCTGTCTAGTGCAGAACAGTTTGGACAGTGTAGATGATATGGCTTTGAGTGCTCTAAAAAACCATGGCCTCTTGGGAGTACAAACCCCTATTACTGCATGCCAGAGGGAGTTCTGTTTGCCCTGCGTATTTCAGCTTGGGTTTGCAAGGTTAGCAGCTGAATGCAAGGGAAATATACATAGTGAAGTGAGCAGATTTGATGAAGTTACTGAAGTAAAAATGGTTCTGCACGGTTACATTGCAAAGGCCATGCAACACAGAACAGATTGGATGTGAGTATGTTCCCCAACACGCATTACAAGACTTCACACGCTGATTTTGAATCCTCTCCTTAGAACAGCAGTAACATAACAGCATCTCAGATTCAGTGCTTCCCTCAAAACAAGCCCACTGCTAGAGTTTCTTTTGCTTTTCTAATCACCCTTTCTTTTGTTCGTGTGAGGAACAAGCTCCCGTATTGAATTAGAAGTGCACCTGCTTGACCGTTTCCCAGCCATTTAAAGCACATTCATAGTAATCAAGAAGGGTTTCCACGCACGCACCGACATTCTCGTATCTGCTGTGCATCCTAGAAACAAGCTGACAGTTCTGGGTTTCAGCATCTTTTTAGGATCCTTCCCCCAAAGTCTCTTGTGGTTCTTGAGGGACTTGGCATCACTTGCTGAATGTGGCACGGTTCAAACTGCAGATGTGCTCACTTTCTTGTCCTACGCCACAGGTGAGCCAGCCCTCTGCCTGAAGTTCACATGAATTCGTAAGATCCATCTGGCTACTGTTACTCAGTTGCATATAAGTTGAAAGAAGGCTCCTGGCTCAATGTCCCATCATGTCTGCAATCTCTTATTGTGGTTGCTTGTCCCACTAATGAGTATACCTCGTTGTATTATGCCTCTGGAAAATGACAGTATTTTTCTCTGGGTCTTCATGACTCAGTAAATAAGAGTGTAGATTTTTAATGAATGATATCTTTGGCTGTCATAACAGCAGCTTTTTGCCCATTCATCCATTTTCTTGTGATGTGGTTAAACTCACAGCAGCTGGAAACAGCTGCCATTTATTTTTGGAACTCAACCTGCCCAATAAATCTTCTTCCTTTCAGAATGAAGAGTTTCCCCTGCCCAGAGCTCTTAGCAAGTGGACTCAATTCCTGGGCCAGAAACAGCGTATCTCCATATGAGAATTGCCTGCCTTTAGCACTGTGTAAAGTCTTTTTGGAGTTACATTGGGAATAACATTATTTATTATTAGTGTTGCAAAAATGCATAAAAGAAGCTACAGAACACTCTGCTAGGTGCTGTGCAAAAATAGAACAAAAAGGGGATCTGTGTTCCCAAGCAGAGACAAGTGGCAGCACTTGGATACAGATTCAGATGGGAACGCAAGGAAATAATAAGACAAGAGTGTTTGGAGTGATAGCCACCAGACTTAACTGCTGATAGATGTTTATTGATTTATGCCATTGTAAGTCTGGAAGAGCCTGAGATTTTGGACATCAAAGTTGTGACAGTTTTATGTCTGAAAAAGCTGTTTAAAGTTATTTTTGGAGAAATTGTCTTTATTAATTATTACCTCTTCTCTGTAGCCTGCTAAGCATGCCTCACAGTCACTAAGATTTTTGGCTTCACAGTCAGAGGGATAGAAGAACAGTCTGCCATGTTGTCAGGGTTTATTGCCACTCATTTAGGATAACTTGCTTACTTCACTTTGTGAATAATGTCAAACTCAGTCCTTTCTCTGCCACAATGTTATCAGTATTGTTTCTCTACATAATATATAATATCAATATAATTTTACCTTTTACCTTAAAGAAAACTTTTATTAAGTAAACTACAAAGTTGTTTATGGATTGCAGCTGATTAATTTTGAGGTTTGTTGAATCAATTAATTTTACTTGAGTCCCTTACTGATTTATAACACATGTTCAAATATATGTATTTTCATTGTTGAGGCACTCTTTATTATTTTCATTTGTCATATTGTGTCACTCATGATACCAGATCTCGCTCTTGCTCTTAATTTTCCTAAGTTCATTTCTGTTGCATGTTAAACTGCAAACTGAAAGGACTGAGGGTGGAAGACCCAACTTGTTTTTGCAAAATAATTCTGGAGTGGAATGATTCCCTTTTTAATTTTAATATTTTTTGTCAAAGGCCTTCCACTGTGCAAATGAATAGCACTGACATAGTTTGGAGACAGGCTATGAGTAGGAGAGGCAGAGGGTAATGAAATTAGGCTGACAACTCAAAGACATTGTTTTCAGAGCGAAGTTAAATTTTAATGCTTTTATGGAAAGAAATGAAAGGACAAATAAGTGATTAGAAAATCTATGCTGGTTTAGGAGTGCATCCTCTGGGAAGGAGAATTATAAATGCGAAAGGGTTGTGGAGGTAAATGGACATGTAGCTTTTCAGCTGGAAATTTATTCCGTGAAAATCTGTAGCATTGGTTAAATTTTAACAGAAAGTAAAAGTGAGAATATAAACCATGATTTCCTAACTTGATTTATAATCAAATTACCTGGTAATGAAATAACTTTAATTTTAGATCAGCATCTGCAACAAAGAGTAAGGATTTTTTAAATGTCTGAGTGATTTCTGTTCACTGGTGAGCGATGACTAAAACTCTTCTTTCAGAGGAACCAGAAAATGCATGATTTTACCTGATACATCCTGAGCAAATGTCAGTTATGAGGCCTCATGCTCCTAGAGATTCTGTATTTAGTGTTTTAAGACTTCAGGCATACTTCAGCCATATGTATTCAGAAATAAAAACTTTATTTATTTCAATAAAGTTCTGTTGCACTGTTTTAACTGAAAATCAGAATATGGCAGATAAGGAAGAAGAAGCCTTTGGCTTTTTTACTTATTAGGAGTAATTAAAAAAAAAACCCACAAGAAAGTACTCCTCTACTTTCTCTTTTTTTAGAGACCAATATTGTAAGCTGTCCGTAGACATGAAGTTAATAGGATTGCTGCACAGGAAGAGTTGAAAGGGTTTACGCGAAGAGACAAGTCTAGATGTCCTGTTAGCCATTAGAGGTGGCTCCTTTACTCTGCTGCGAAGTAGAAAGTGGGTGTGTATTATATTAGGGGCTAAGCCAAGGAGACACACATGACTTAGCAAAGACAGGGAGAGATACTCTTCCTCTCAAAAGTCTTGGAGTCCGAAGAGCTTGTGGCGGTATGCTCTAGCGACCATCAGCACGAGGGCTGGTGTGCAAAGGGAGAAGGGGAGTCAACTGGGCAGGCTCAGTTGCAGCTGGAAGACCAGTACTGTGCAGATTTTTCTAGCATTTTTCTCTGCCATCTTTCAAGGATTTCTGTAACAGCCACACGAGTGTTTACAGTCTCAAGCAGTATTTGCTACCAGAGCGACTTCACTGTAGGATTTGGGCAATGAAGTGTGATTTTATTGTTGTTGTTCTGAGAATGAACAAATGGTATTTTAATCTAGTATTCAATTGATGTTTAATTCCTTATTACAGTTGGGGTGGGCCACATGGCTTATGAATACAGCTGTGGGAAACATTTTAAGAAACTTTTTTGTTTTGGTTGAAATTGCCAATTTGTCAGAGATTTCAAAGAGATGACTTGTATTTGGAAAAAAAAAAGCCACACTGGAAATCAAACAGATCTACTGAAAGACTGCTGTTGTTTGGTTGGTTGTTTGTTTGTCTGTGGCTAACATATCTAGCTCCTCAACAGGACTTGGAGGGCTAAAGGAGCTGGAAAGTCTCAGCTCCCACACTCTTGGGCTTGAAGTTCAGGTTTTACAGGCTTCCAAAGTCCTGACAGTCAGACCACCCCAGAGCTGGGCAGGGAATGGAAATTCTGCTTCAGAGGAAATTTCAGCAACAAAAAAGCTACATACTCTTCCAAACTGGAACTAAATCAAATATCAAAAACTTCAAATATTCTGCCAAATAAAGTTACTGTCCTGGGCTTAACTTCTTGCCATGACTTTAGAGTCTATTTCTGAATAATTTGTTCATGAAATTATCCTGGGTTTTGTTCCTATGCATTGAAATCTCATAGCTGTTTTTGTCCAAGGGAGAACTGCACAGTCAGACCATTACAAAATCCAATAAATAAGAATCGGGAATCTTCAGGAATGTAGCTTGACAGCCTCGCCTCACCAATATGCACAGAGATGCAGAACCTAAGCCCAGTACCCACGTGTCCCCTGCTCTTAGTGGGCTGGACTGGATGGCCTGACCTTAGAGCTGAGGGAATCCCTCACACCGCCTGGGAGCTGAAAGTTCATCCTGTGGGCCATCGAGAGCAGGGAAGATCCTCCAGAGGTGATGCATGGGAATCCACTTATCTCAGGTGACAGTAGGAAAAGGGTGGAGTTCAGCGGTACAACTAATTCACCCCTCTTCCTTATACTTCCAAAATTTCCAACAGTGTAAATAAAGGATTTTTAAGAGTAAGGGGTATTGGTTTGCTGAATATCTTTACATAATTTTATGTATTTCTAGGCAACCCTTGAAAAGATTTTACTCATCAGTTCAAATAACTAGAGTTGAGGAAAAAAAAGGTGAATACTCTTAACAGCAAAGAGAATGCGTTCAGTGTTGTTGGTCTGTAAGATGTATAAGGTTTCTGATGCCAATGGGTATAAAAGTGCATTTATAGGGTTTTTCTGTGCATTTCTTAGAGAGCTCTCACATATCAGGAAGTGTCTTTTATCTGCCCCTGTTGTACTATAAATAGAATTTATCAGCTTGGATTGCCTTTGGGATAGTTTCCTTTTCCCCTAGCAACTCAGGTAACATTATTTTTAGTGAAATTGGGTTATCACAAAACACATGGATATGTTTATATCCTTGTATGTGTAATCTGATTTGTTACTCTTTAACTTTTTTCTCTGTTTCCCAGTGTCTATTACAGGAGGTAGCGGTGGAAGAGCTTTAAACTGCAAGCTCTACCCACAACGCTACCCAACAAGGCAGAGTTGCACCTAAAAACAGAGTGGAGAGAGGGGAGATATCTCCTTGAATGGGCTTTGCATGCAAGTGGCAGTAGCAACAGGAGTGGAGGAGTTTAAAGCCTCCTCATGCAGATTATTTTCCACAGGAAGGAGTTTTCAATTTATTCACTGAAACTGAGATAAAATAGAATGATTTTATGAGCAGTGGAAGTAACAAAGCTGAATTTCCTGTAGATTTATATCGTGTCTCCTCTCCACATCTTCCTGCCCTGTAATACTCCTCTTCTCTCCCTTGTCTTCCTTCACCTCTTGCTTGCAATACACTCCGTTTCTTACTATGACTTTCCTCGGCGTCTTCACTTCTCCCCATATCTCCAGTTGTCCCACAGAGCAACACTATAAGCTTCCTTCAACATGCCATACCTGTTTGTTTGAGCAAGGGGCAGCAGGTGCCAGGGTTGACTAGCCATAGGATTGCAGACTCTCGCAATGTCCAGCGCCTGTCTTCTCCCTTCCGTCAGTCGGAGCACTGATTTGGTTCTCGCCGTCCTCTCTTCAGCCACCAGCTGTCACAAAACATGCAAAAATGCAAGTCCTGGAGACATGGAGCCCTGTGGCAAATGTGTTTGAAGGTATCCATTTGCTTAAAAAAATTGTTAGGACAGACCTTAACGGTATTAAACATATCACTGAGACATTCTGCCTTCTTTTTACTTTGTAACTAAAATGCGTGGCCACAGGAACCTTTTTCCATGAGACCAGTACAAGTGCTAGTCATCTAAACTTGCATTATCTGTTCTTTACCTATATATGACATTCTTCTCCCATTGCTTCCATCCTTTTGTCAGCATGACCCAGGTACAGTGCTGCCACAGCCAGTTGGAGAAGCAGTACTGTTCAGATGGGATTGAATTTGCCAACGTGCGTGAGGAGTGTGACTCGCATATTGGTGAAAATTCCACCTGTGAAGCTCAATACTTTAAGGTGAGACATTAGAGCTACTCCTGTTCATCTTTAAGAAATGGTATTGACTGTCTAGATTGGTATTAAGGGTTGACCCTGAAGGTCACCATACTCGGTTTGATGCACATCAACACCTACACCTCATGTCTCCGTTAAGGCTGTCCACTTTGTGCTTCTTTGAGGGAAACAGTTCCTCGTTGAGTGAAGCAGACTGTCTCATTACATTTTAGCAAAGGCAGAGGGTTAAATGCAAATGGGTGGAAAGTCTTGAACGGGTAATTGGCTAGGAAACTACTTTTGCATGAAGAGAAGTCATCAAATCTGTATGGAGGGATGGGTGAGAAACTCAGTCTCGTTTCAGACTTTAGCTTTCATTAGAGCTTCGTGGCCTAAGGTCAAACTCAGTGGTTTTCAGTATTGGTGGTCCAAAGGGGTAGGACTGAAGTTAATCCTCTCAGCGTACTTATAATTCCAGCTTGTGTACATGTCCTCAGTTAACATGACTTTGATTTACAATTGAATGGAGACATTTGTAAGCTTGTGATAATAGCATTTGGAATTAGAATAAAAATGCCCGTCGTTGCCATCTTTAGTTAATCTGTGCCCTGCCCTCCACCTTTATTACTATCTTTGTCTCTCCCTTCTTGAAAGTGAGCATATTCATACCACTCTGCAGAGTGTTTTTGGAAGAAAGTTCCACCAGTAAGATCATGACCTTGACCATGACCCAGTCATGAACAGCTCTCGTCCCATTACGGATTTCTTTCAGTGGTCATGAAAATAGATGAGAGTGGTTTTACTTCTGCCCACTGCCAAAGATACTGAATGTTTTTGTTCATTCAGTTAAAAAAATCTACTCTATAGAAGATGGCAGACAACGTCTGACTTACAAGTTGCCTATCTCTCCAAAATGCTGGGTTGATCATATGCCTGGCAGTAGGATGCCGCTGATGCCAGGGCTGTGAAGTAAGCCACATTCTCACTGTGAGTAGAAGAAAGGTAACGCATGCTGATGAGGCTGGCATTGTTGGGTTGACACAAACTCGTCTGCATGTGCAGTGTGATTTTGTCCCATGGTGGAGCATGTCCCACAGAGGGGACTTATCTCACCTGTTGACCACGTCCAGGGCATGCCCTGCTCCTGGCGTGGAGGTTCCTCTCTGCAGCCTGTACCTTTAGAAGCCTGTCCACCCCAATCTGGATGTGGCGTGAAAAAATATTTAGCCCTCTGTGTCAGTACTTTGAAGGGCTATGAACAGATGAACAAGGACTGTGATGGCGAGTACTCTGCAGATTCAAGTGCTTGCTACCAGAGACAGCACTATTTTAAACATATGCCATGGGACAACTCTAAACCAGAATGCAACTGTTCAAGGAAACCCACTTTCCCATCAATTGACTGATGTTTCCCTATGTGGTCTTGTCAGCATGAGGAAGAAGAGTTAATGATATTGTTTTTTAAAATGGCCAGACTTCTTTAAAGATGGCAGGTTTTCATGGTGACAGCTGTATTATTAAACAAAATGGACTGGGCTTTGATCTCTGGCCCTGAGAATAAATGGCTCAGCACAACTCATGTCACGTAACTGACGTCTTTTCCTTGCAAAACACAGTGCATGAGGGCTGTTGGGAACACACGCTGGCCTGTGCTAACCCCAAAATATGCTTCAGCATCGTCTGAGAGGATGTTAGTTGCCATTAGAGCTTGCTAATATTTAAACATTACAGACGATTGCGGGACAATGCCTGAGCCCATATTCTGTCCCTGTTTAATTTACTGGTATAAACATAGTCAGTGTTACTTAATCTTTGTAACTGCCCCCTCCACTCCCTAATAGAAATGTCCTACACTTAAAAAATGTACTGAGGTAGCTGTAGGAGTATCTTTGTAGATAATCTCTTTTATCCATGATGGACATAGATGATTTATGATCTAATATCAGTGAACAATTCATCATTTCTTTTGTTGAATACATTTTTAATCTGATGACCTTGAGACATACAATTTGTCTGGCAATTGTGCCCTGCTGTGGTAAACTTTTACACTCACACTAAGCCCATCTCACATGGGCTTGAATCTCATTTTGCCTAAGTTGGTCCGTTTTAGTTTAGTTTAGGTAGCATGGGAAATCTTTTGGATCCTCTTTGTCTCCTTCAAGGAAGCAGAAAGAGTGATTTAGTAATTCAATTAGTAGGATTAATCGCAGCACTTTGCAGCAAATGAGGCAGCTAATCTTTCTTTTAAATCCAAAACTTGCGATTGGAAAGAAGATAAAACGACCATATTTTGAAAACACTTTCCTCTGCTTTTACACTTAAAGGCGGTAGGCATAGGTAATAATGGCCATAATTCTACTCCTCTGTTTTTTTGGAAGCATAGCTTTTCTTGCCTTGAAAAAAAGGATGCAAAATTAATCATTAATCTTTAAAATCTTCATCAAAAGACAGTAATCAATTTCCAGATTTGTTGCTGATTAGGGAGATGTAGAAATGGTTTTATGAAAGTTTCTACCGCAACAGCCCTGCAGAAAAGAGTGAAGCTTGTAGAAATTTGACCTTCTTTAAGGTGCTCACACATTTTCCCCAAAATTTGTCATAGGTACTTTCTTTTTCCAAAGATCGAGATACGGCCTTATCTCCCCAGTTTTGTCAAGAATACTTTGGTTGTGTATATTAGGTGAGCACAAAAGTTCTATTGCTTTGGACTGTTGAGCATATTTTTTATTTTTGTTCATATCTTCAAAAGTTCTTAAAAATTTCCCTGAGTTATTTGTATTTTTTTCAGTCTGTTTTTCATATCATCTACTGGTTAGTCTGGATTTCAGCAAGTGAGAGACCTCTTGTGGACAGAAACACAAAAGCAATGCTAATACATGGTTCACCCTTCCAGATCTGGTAACTTAAATGGTGACATAAATAATCAAGAACTATTATAAAATTTAACTAATTAAGAGAGCTTATTTATGAAAGCAATTTCAGGTGCTTCCTAATCACACCAAAAATAAATCTTTAAACTTCTCACATGTAACTATTTATTCCTTTATTCCTTCTATCTTTATTTCTTTCTGTGAGAAGGCAAGGTATAAGAGCAGTCAAGGAATGATGGGACTTCAAGTAGGACACAGCTTTCTATTCAAACACGAAGATCAAGGCATGGCTTTGAAGCTGCATGGGCTTTTGCTAATAACAGGGGAGAGGCAAAGGAAAAAATGTTTGAGATTATTATCGGCATCACTTAAGAAGCAAAGGCTTACAGGCAGTGGAAGTGTGTGATAACAACTCGATCATTAGGTTATACCATCCATGAAGGCAGCGATGGTTCTAGCAAATGGGTGAATGGTCATCGGCAACATGCCTCCGGGCAGCTGGCAACCTTTGGAAAATGGCTGCAAACACATCAAGAACTGAACTAATATGGAGTCTAGACTGCACTCCGGACTAAAGGATCAAAGTCTTTCAGAATAGGCTAACAACCCTGAAAAAAATACCCTGAAAAAGGAAATGTTGAGATTAATCTTACCAGGATAATGATAGTTATAATGACATACTGCTTTGTGTCTCAGAATACCAGAGTGCTCCATGAACATGAGTTAAACTAGCCTTATCACTGCTATATTATTACCATTCCACAGTGGGAAAACTGAAAGAAGAGGTGACTTTCCGAGTTCACAGGTGAGGTATGTGGCGATGTATGCCAGCCTACAGAGTCCTGGGTGTGCTGTGAGCATAAGGCCATTCATCAGCTTCTCCATCTTTTTTCTGTAGTCGAACAGGAAATGTTAGCCTTTGGGACCGCCAGCGGAGAATCTTCTAGGGTCAATATTAAAACCCAGTTACCATAAGCATCAGTTAAGAAAACATTTGACACTTTCCATCTCTGGATCATTTTGGCTGTGGTATAGCAACAGAAGTTATTATCGAGATGTTAAATCAAGATGCATCATGCAGAGTTAGAATAAATACAAGTTGGAACAAATGGTTCAATGCATACAATTATGTTAAATGAAGATACAGTTTCTTACAGACGTTGCAAGACTTAGCAAGCTCTGTACTTGACGATTCATATTAGCTGGAGACAGAGGTCTTTCAAGTAGTGGCTCAACCTGGAAGAAATAAAGAACATAAGGTTATTCATCACGTCAAGAATGGCAAGATTAATGATCGCTCTCTAAAAAAAATCCAGAAAAACTCTGTAGCTCCCAATTTGAGCATTGTGTGACAAGACAAAGAAATCGATTGAGTCAATTCATATGCCTGACAGTAGAAGGCAGTGAGGATATCCAGACGCATATGTCAAAATTTGGCAAGGCATCAGCTGTGTTCAGTAACTTAAATAAGATTTGATTATCAAAAATACGCAAGCTTAAGTCAAACAATGAATCTTCAGCTCAGTTTTCATTTCTGTCTTCTAATTTATGGTTGTGAAAATTGGAAATCTAACAAAATTATAGACAGATCTTAAAAACTTTGAGAAAGATGCCTCAGGAAAATGTTAGATGTGTTAGACAGAATAAATATTCAGAAATGTTGCAATTCTTGGAAGAGATCATCAAGTATTTATTTCTAAAATCATCCAGAAAAGCCAGAAAAGATGGAAATGACCCAGACATACTAGAGATGAAACCAGAGCATCCACCACTGGATGGAAGTAGTTGTAGAACCAAGTAAAAAAAGTGGGTAGTGGGGAACCATCCCACCAAACGGTAGTTAATAAGGAAAAACATGTGTCTTAACCGTATGGTGGGCATGAAAACAACACCCCAGCACTGGCCAGGAGGGAAGCGTTCCTGCCATACAGCATTCTGCAGCAGGGAAAGGATTCAGTTGTGTATTTAAAGACAAAGTACGAAATAGCATGCTTACATACTTCAAAATGTTGTAAAGTAAAAAAAGATTGAAGAAACAAGGAAAGAGGATTTTATTATTTTACTTTCACACTGTTCTAGGTTTTAAAAGAACCTTTCACTGCAGAGAAAGAAACATATATAATACCTTGTAAGGGAAAACTTAGAATATAGGCAGGGATGTACATCTCAGAGTAGTGAAAGAAGCATAATAGTTGCCTTCTTTTCAATAGGTGTGGTGCTTAAAGCACCAAATTACAGAAATTTAATTCAATGCTTAGTTATTTTATATTCCATCTGCTCTGTTTAATGGCGCAGGCTATTTTCTTCAAGCAAAAAAGAGTCTGAAAGAATAACAAAATTAAAGGCTTAAATCTGCTTTTACATGGCAGTAGCAATTGGCAGACACCAGTTCCAGAGAACCAAACATCTTTGCTGCTTTCTAACAGCAAGGAAGAAAACTGAATAAATCAGCAGTGTCCCCGCAATTTAAAATAAAAGGAAACTTCCACGGGATTAACTTGTCCTGTGTTCGCTTCTGTGGGGTATTCCAGGGCCGTAATTCAGCAGGTCTGGAAGAGGCGGATCAAGTTTCATTACTGGAAGCCATGTCAGGACTGTGATGCTTTTAAATAATGTTTGACTATGTAGTCTGTTTTTCAGAGCAGAATAGCGTCTCTTTATGACCTGTTAACACTAACCTTGGATGAATCATGTTTGTTCGCTTGTTTGTCTGTTAGTTCAGAGTGTTTTTTGCTGGGAAGTTGAGTAGGCAGTTTAATTATAAACTGAGTCATGCACTTCATGGATCGTGTCCCGGTTTAATTGAACTGGATAAAAAAGGGAAGTAGAGGTGTTAAAAGTGACCACTGTTCACTGGTGTTTGAAACTGGGCTATGCAGGGAGGGAGCGATGAAATTCCATATACATATGTGGACCATTCTGGTCCTCCACATCACCCTGCACACACATTCACACATACACAAGATTTGTGAGAAGTGGATCCAGGTTCTGTGCTTGGCTCTATGTAGGCCAGATGCAGAGCTCACTGAACTCAACTACGGATTAAAATGTCTCAGCCTAAGTATACCAGGAATTCTTAAAGAGTTTGCAGAAAATTTTCCATCAGTTTGCCAAGGTGAGATAACACTATTGACACTACTGACAAAATTGCATTGATTTGTTCGGGGCTAGGATTTGACTTTTTTTTTTTTTTAAACAGATATGTTGTTACTGTTGTTTGCTGGGAAAGGCTGCCCAAGTTCAAGGACAGAGTTGTGAACCCAACCCAAAGATAGGATACCAGTGTGGAATTGTCTTCAGAGCTTGCTGTGTGAAGGGTCAAGAAGGCACTGATGTGTCCATCAGTGACGATGCTCCTAAAAAGGAACAAGGTATTTTATGTTGCAAATTATAAGAGTGAGACACAAAATGATAGAGGGTACAAGGAGTGCTTGTACTTTAAATTATTTCTGTTGGAATTCCTCTGACTTGAGATATCTCCTCTGAGTAATTTAATGATGCATGTTTTGGAGCTCATTTTTTTGACTAGTGATAGCTGAAATGTTGTATACCACAGGAGGCTAAAAGAGCTGGAAAGTGGTCACTCAGTTCCTGGTGTCAGAAGTTAACTATAAGACAGATTATTTTGGCCACTAATGGTTTTATCTTGGAAACTGAGTATAATCTATTAATTCTTAATAGCATTTTGCCCACTGATAAATTTGTAATTAAAAAGAAAATCGACAACTGAATTCTTTTAATTGGATTTAAAAGCCAGATGGCCTTTGCCAGCTCAGCAGAATTCAGATGTTGCCTTTTGTGTGAGAGGCAAATGCCCACAAACTGGGGGCGTTTGAAATGCCTGGACTGTCTGCGGGTGCTGAACACTTCGGAAAACATGGTATCTGCATTTCTTTCAACATTTTCAGAAAAGAGGGGCATCTAGATGGCAGCAGCTCCTGACACCTTCTCCATACCTAGTCCACAGAGCCGAAGAGAATGAGTATGGACATACTGACCCTTAGAGACCTGGGTTTGGGGTTTTTCTGCCTTTTTCACTTAGCAGACAGACTTGAAACTGCAGAAGAGTCATGCTGTATAGTGTTGCTTCCTTCATGTGCAGTTGAGCACTGAAAACATGCAGTCTGGCTTGCAGATCACCACTGACAGATTTTGGGAGACATCATCCTAATCAATCACTTAAACTTAAACCCAAACCCCGCCACAAAAGCTTACATTGGTCTGCTTCAGCCAGTGTGTTACCAGACTTGTTTCAGGTCTTTTAAACCTGGCTTACGTCAGTGTATACCCTTATCAAGTAACATTTAGAAATGCCCTGGCAGTTTCTTTGTGTACCGCTGTCTCAGCAGGGGAATTCCCCTTGCTCATTAGCACTGGGTGAAGTGACTGGCCTGGTAGATTCCTTGAACTTAGACCACTCTGCTAATAATGAAAATTTGCAGACTTGGTGTACCTGCATGACATAAGAAATATGTCAACACCTGAAAATCCAGAATAGTGAGCCAGCGTACAGTATTTCCCCACTTACCCTTGTGGGCAAGTGGCACGCATAATAACTATTATGCATATGGTTAGTATGGTTATTATGCCACACATAATAACCATTAGGCATTGCAAAGATGAGTCTATGTCAACAAGCAGGGCAGGACAATGTTCTCGTCATCAAACTAAGAAACAAGCAGGTGGCTGAACATACGTCAAATATCCCTATCGACAATAAAAATTGCCTGTAGAAAGGCAGAGCAAGCAACGTGAATAGACACCTTTGTCAGTCATGAAGGGGACAGTCTCCATTTTTTAAGGCAGCTGCTTGGACCAGCACCTTGTGTTTGCGTTACGCAATAGCAAGGTATGCAAGGCATTCTGCTGCAGAGGGTAAGGCAAGCAGACTGCCTGTATGATACTTTCTTAGTCACGTAAAGAGCAATCTCTGGTACTGTGTCCCCAGAGATCTCTACAAAATCAGACCCGACTTGGGCAAACTGATTTCGTTAGCTTCTGTGTGACCAAAATGTACCCCTATGGCTCAAGGACTCAATGTACCAACCCAGGCTTGCGCCACTGCACAAAAACTTGCTTTCACATCCGTGATGTATTATTTGCTTGTAAGTGACCGCTGGTTGAATAGGCTTATGGATAATCCCTGAAATGAGACGAAGCTTCCTATGCAATAACCAGAGTATTTTGAGATTGTGTTTTTACACATCTCGCTACCAACTTACCGCTTCCCCTGCGTTCAAAGTGGCGGGCATGAAGGAAGTCCATTAGCTAGTCCTTTGGGCAAGCAATGGGTTCAGGCAGTGGATGTATTCAGCCCTTTTATGTCCTCTGTGTGGAGAGAAAGAACTCTCAGGACACATGCATGTAGCAGAAGTACCACTGATGAAAACTCTCCAAGTTAAGGTATATGAAGTACATTTGAAAGAATGCCATAAGTAGGTGCCCAAAAGTTGGGTGTGGAATTCTTTTTGGAATGAAGTCTAAATAAATAACTGAGGTTAATCTGATTTTCATTAAAACTGTGAGTACCCCAAGCTACTATAAAGTCGGTGGAAGCCAAGCATGCCTCAACAACTTGTTTTATGAAAATCAGGTTAAGCTCTGGTTAAAAGCCTAATGTTAAGAACCTGCATTTGAAAATCTTAGCCCATATGTAATCTATGATCACAGCGTGACTTTCATATTGAATCAGTCAGATGGAAAATGCCCCATGGCCGTGTGCATTTGAATGTCAAATTTAAGTATGGAATAGCCGTAAAATATGTAAATAATGCTCTTTAATTTTGTCCTGGTTTATCCAAAACCCTGGTCTGAGTCCCGTCCCAAGCAGGCAGCTTTTTACTGTGAGAAGAAAAGTGCTTTCTCCTCTAATGCCTATCTCTCCTCTTTTTAGTTGAAATTTCAAAGGAGGAACTAGACCAAGAAGATCCTTATCTGCATGATGGCTGCAGAGGTAAGTCAGGTGACTAGTCCTGTTAGCCAGCTCTTTTGTGATTGCCTCCAATAAAAGTGAAGCAAACTTAGATCTAGAGATTAGCCAAAAACCTTTTGCCTAGGCTAGTTATGGGTAAAAATAACAGAATGAGGATCCTTTCTAAGAAATAGTAGGCCATTATGTGATGTCTCAGTAGTTCTTAAATACAAGGGAGGCATTGTCTCCCACAGTGGAGTTTATCTTACCCAACTGAAGCTTGGACTATACATTTAACTTTTATTTAACTTCTAGTGGGTAGTACCTTAGAGGTGTTACCCGTTGAACCCGTGGAGTACTCTGGATTCTTCAGAACATGGGGATCCTATATTAAATATGTGCATTCCTTTATTCTCCTCTTGGGATGATCAGGGTGACTGAATACGAAATGAAACTTGTTTCCTTTTGAGATGCATCAGCTGAAAAAAAAGGAAGAAAATCGGCTGTTGTCCTGGTTAGTCAGGCTGTTCTGCCTCCTGGGAAGAATGTGTTATTGGGATATTGTTCTGCTAAGTATTCTGATTTATTGCTTGTCACATGTGATTTACATGTCTATAAACTTAAAACAGCAGTGATTTATTATTTTCTACAAGCATTTCAGAACTAAGTAATTTATTTAGGATAAAATCAATTTAATAGACTTACATTGCAGTTGAGAGATGATTTACTGTGCTGCATGTTGTATAGCTATTACACTAGAGAGGATGGAAATGTCTACTAGGTCATTAGCTAGTCAAAGCCAATACTGGTTCTTTTCCTTGTCTCCAGCTGCTAATTATAAGAGATGACATAGAAAAATGTGTTATATATTTTCCTAGCATTATTTTTTGATGTAATCTGTTGTTGCATTTGTCAGTTAATCAGCTGCCTGCAAGAGACGGATTGGTATGACTAATTACAAATTAGAGTTTCTGTCTACAGTATATTTTCTGATAAACTTGGCATGCCAAAATTACTTGTGATTTTCCGATCTTCACCAGGGGAAACTTAAATTTCCTAGGCAGTGGAACTTCCAGCAGTTTGTTTTGGAGCACCTTCGTGGTATATGAGGAAATCAATTCTGTTCTTCCAACACCTCCACAATAGGATTTACTGTGGCTGACAGGAGCTCACAGTATTAGCAGAGGTTCGGAAAGTGGTAGCTGTCCATTTCAACCACAAGGCTATGGTTCCTTCTAATGTCATTGCCTTTGCCAGTATTGTGTACAGACCGAATCTTCTGTGGTGTATTAATGGCCCTATCCTCATTAGAAATTGTTGCACTTTAAAAAATTATTTTAATTCACTCAGAAGTTTAAAGTATTATAGCTGCATTTGCCCACATTGATTGTGCTTATCTCAAACCTTTTGTTTAATGCCTATCCAGCCATTCTGAAAAACGGAAGACGACAGGTTCTGTTTGTACTAAGAATATCAATAATCTTACAACGAATAGTTGGAAGTATATAACCTTTTCTGTATTGTGAGAATACTATATGTTTTTAATATTAGGGTTTTTTAACAAGATCAGAAAAAGTAAGTTTTCTTAATGGTGAGCCAAATTTTGTGTAAATTTCCTATAGTACCCTCTCTTTCTGTCTGCCAGAATAGCACCAGCTCCCTTTCACATCCTTTGTGACTCCTGCACACACCTCACTAGGTCCTTAGTACCCCAGTAGTAAGTCTTGATTCCTTTAGGTTCTCTGAAGCCTTTGTCACACACAATACCCTCTTCTCCCTTTCATGTTTCCTGCCTGCTGAGTAGGAAAACAGCACGTGCTACAGCTAATTCAGGAGTATGGTCCTAATAATGATGGGCTAAAAATAAAGCCTAATGCAGCTAATAGTGAAAATGTTTCACTATGGTGATGCACCTTGTCTTCCTTGTTGTACGGTAATCACCATGCAAAGTTTTAACTTCCTAGCCAAAACCTGAGGAGGTGTCTGAGCTCATCAGCATTTTCCCTTCAACTTCTAACAATGATGGGCTATGAGCGACTCCTTAATTTACTTCCTTCTTGTATTCATTTTTAGAGCTAAAAGAATCCAGTGATTACAAACACTTCCTTCAGTGCGTAGCCCTTTCCTTTTTTTGTATATGTGTGTGTTTAGTTATCTGCTTTTCTAAATAAATTAGCAAGCATCCTGTAAATCAATGGTTTGTTTGAGTTCCTATGAAGAGCTTCTTAATTATATAAGACTTCTTAAAATACCCAATTAGGTGGTGGTCCCTGTTCTCAGCAGTGCAGAGACACAGGATCCAGTTATGTCTGCTCCTGCTTTGTTGGGTATCAGCTTCAACCAGATGGTGTCAACTGTGAAGGTAAAAAAAATAAAACCATTGCCTCGATTATCAACATCCTTGTTTTAAAACAGCAAGAATAGATAAAAAAATCCAGACAGAAGAGATCAGAATATGCTTATGCCAACTGGGGAAAGAGGTGAGATCATAAAAAGTTGATTTAAATGGAGTGTTGGAATGGGAGTTGTGGGAAGATGGAGTTAAGAAAGAATCAGTAGAACAGGTGAAGGATTTAGAGTGGGGAAGAGGCAGAAGATCTTGAATTTATTGTTATGAATAAAACCAAAATAAAACACCTGTTCTCTTTTATAGTAGTAGATAGAAACTGATAAGGCAGATTAAATAAAGTAGGATTCTTCAGCTTGTTAAGGACTCAGCTGACAGAAGGGGTGAAAGTCTTGGATATCGTGAGTGGCATGGGAATGGTCAAGGGGGAAGAATTGTTAAGTTTCTCCCAGAAGAACAACTAAAGGGACATCACATGAAACAGGCTGGGATACAGCTTATCGCACTTGACTTTAGGTACGTGCAATGTGGACAGCTGCTTCTGCGCTAGTTAGCCTAGACTCCTTTTGTTGCTAGCTGAGAGAAACAAGCACTTCCAGGGCACAGTTTATCTTGCCTGTTTTGCGTAGCTATTGTAGGATGAAAAGCGTTACTCATCACGAGTGCCTTTTTCTCTCATTGAGTGAAAAGGGGGTCTAGGTAAGTAGCTCAGATGATACAAACTTCAGGATATAAAATAGATATTGATGATTGGTCAGATTAACACTAACCTAGTGTGAAATATAAAAAGGAAGAACTTTTACATTTGATACATGTGGATGCCAAATATTCTTATGCATTCAAAGAGAAAATGAAAAAAAAATCACAAAAGAAATGTCTACCAGTAGCTATAAAAGAGAAAGTTGCAACTTGTGGCTCAGGGAGTCCCTAAGCCATTTGAGGGTGGGAGGCAGAGCAAGGGAAGGTTTTCTGAAAGTTTGCCTCATTCATATAGTCACTATAATCATCTGCTACTGGACTCGGTCAGGTGATGTTGGCCCTTTGCTCTCACTCAGTAGAGCTTCCTCCTCTTTCTAATAGTACAGTGAATCAGCAGTCATAAGTCCTGTTACCGACGGGGTCAAAATGTCTTTACTGGCTCACATTCTGAGAACAGAGAGGAGTAGCCACGTTGTGGGAGTGTGAGTGGGTGTGTGAGTGAATCCACACCATTCTTTGTGTCCTGATGCTCAAAGTAATGACTGGTTTGAGGTGTGCCCACAGCTAGCCTTTGATCTCACCTCTTCCCAGTGGTTTCATGTTTCTTATTTACTTTTTTTTTTAAAAATAATTTTTCATATTCTAGATATTAATGAGTGTATCACTGGGACACACAGCTGCGGGATTGGACAAACTTGTGTCAATACATTAGGATCCTTTCGCTGTCAGCGGGACACGAGCTGTGGAACTGGTTATGAACTAACAGATGACAGTCGTTGCAAAGGTACGTCCTGTGCTGAGAAACTGAAATCTTCCAGGCTTAAGTAAAAAAATAAGTACATCATCATGTCATACTCTCTTACTTTCGGTAAATACACGTGTAAGCTATAGTTACACAGGGACACACAGACGGTGCTAGTTCTTCTGGGACAGCACTTTTCCACCTGTCGCCTTGCAGATCCTAGATCAGGCTGTCTGTGGACTACGACAAAGACTTCCAGGAGAGATAACTACATTTATTTTACACTGGCAATTTGTCTTGCGCGATAGGAGCTGGTCTGGGGACTGAAACAGTTGATTTTGAAGGCCCAGCACTGACACTTAGACACATTTTTCTGGTGTTTACTTCTGGCTAGCTCTAGTCTGGTCTTACGAATTGGTTGCTCATTAGTGAGTGGAGTGCCTAAGTCCTTCTCCTGGAGCAGATCTAATGGTTTCGTTTCACCTGAAAGAGTCAAGTTTGCACACTTCGGAGTGTGAAACGAAGTGTGGCAAGTGGAGTGACCAGGTGATTCAATTTGAAAACGCTAAGGTAGATGCATCTTTTAAAAAAAGTAAGCCTTTATCCTCAGGAGGTTTGAATTTCTTATGAAGGGATTCCTTTCTTAATCACAATTCTTAAGGATTGAAAAATGAAAAAGGGTTAAAAGCACTGTTCTTGACTAGCTATGTTTGAACACAAGGGTAATAGTTTTATTTACTAAAGTAATGACTGATTTCAAGTTGCATCTAGCTCAAAGTATGCTGTTATGTGCATCCGTAACCTGACATGCTACCTTCTACCTTTGCTGCTAGATATAAACTAGCAGCAAACACCATTCGATGTGGAATTGGTTTCCATTATGAGAAGGTCTGTTCCCCCAAAGCTTGGAATTGTATATAAACAGACTAATTTCATTCCACTGAGTAAATTAACTCAACCAAAATTCTGGGTAAGGTTTTATTGTAGGAACTGATCAGTGATGAATAACAGATTGAATAAAAAAGCTGACGAACAAACTCCACACAAAACCAGCAGTACACACAGACAATATTTTTCAAAGTATCTTGGTCTAACTTTGGTCGCTTTGAAGTAAAATTTCTGCTGATTTGAATTACATCAGATTTAGGCCAACAAATAGCTTACCAGCAAGTATTAACAATCTTTTTCTGGTGGAAAAAAAGAGTACAGACAGCAACTTATGCATGCCATTAATGTTAGAAATTTCTTACCTGGATAAGATATGTTAATAATGTTAATTATTAATGTTATGCTAATATCAATGAAAATAGAAAATGAATAATCTTCACATATGATTTTAAATGCCAAGTAAAATGACTGAGTTGTGCAACATGTAGAACTCTGCTAAAACCCATCCTAAACACTTCACAATCACTTTTTAAGTCTCACAAAGCTCTAGGGATAAGCAATTGCATCTACTGTTGGGTCAGCTGCATAAATGGGAAAGCTGAGGCATCCTATTGCTAGAAAGTTTCTGTATTTTAGTAGCTTTAGGAGATTTCATCCTATTGCAACATTAACTTTGGCTGCTTTTATGTGGACAGGGTTACATTCATGAATGAAGCCTCATTAGCCCTTGTCTGCTTTATGTGAATCATAATTTATTCACAAATATTTATTGTCTATTCTGAACCGGAATGGAATATTAAAGTTAGCAGAAATCATATTTATGTGCATTTTAAAGCACAACAATGCAAGGATATTGCAAGCCTTAATATGGATGAGAATCAAGGCCAATTAATTCACTTATGAAAGAAATGAACAATGTCTGTATTGGATCTAAGGTTAAAATTAAAATTGCACTTGGACATATAATTAAATCTTACTGACTTCAAAGCTGAGCCCGTGGATAAGCACACTGCTGAATCAACGCTGAACACTGCTGAACACAATGCTTGGGGCGCTCTGTAATAATTTTGAATCATTTACTTGTGAGAACCAAACTTGTAAAGCATAATAAACACACACCCCCCTATATATAGTGTTAATAACAAAATAATAAAAAAAACCTTTAACTTATTCTACCTGTTTTTATTGAGATTCTGTTTGAGGTAGTAGGTCAGACTGATCCCGGTTCACTGCATTGAGTTGCATGAAGATACGCTGAGCATTGATGTCTGACGTTTTTAACTATGTCTTATGTTTTAAATGTGATGAGAAAGCTTCTGTCAAACTCCTGCTAACAATTTTTTTTTGTGATGTACCAGATATTGACGAATGTGAGACTGGTACTCATAACTGCCCCCCCGATTTTATCTGTCAGAATACTCCCGGATCTTTCCGTTGCCGACCCAAGCTACAGTGCATGAATGGGTTTATACAAGATGCGCTAGGCAACTGTATTGGTAAGGCATATTCTTATTTCAGTGAATACTTAAGTGTTGCCTATGAGATAAGTTGTCGTTTCCCTGGGTGAGTTCTGAGCTTCTCAAGTAGTTCTTCATGCATGTATGCATTGCTCTGCTTTGTGTTTTTTCCGCTCCTTTAAAGGCAGGCTTGGTCCCACAGGTAAGATTTACAGACAAAAACCATTTAAATGAAAGACTTACATACTAGATCTCTGGTTTTAATGAGATTTGGTTACCTAAGGCACTTAGCTGCGTTTGAACATTTTCATTAAGTCTTTGGGGATTTTATCTGAAACTGAAAATTTGTAAAAAATATGTGATGTGTTTTCTCTCTCTCTATCCAAAAGGTTTTAGCTAAAGCTTAGTATAAAAAGCTGTAAATTATGACATCCTTTGTAGCACACTTTGTTGATATTAGTATGCATGGTTCTACAGGTATGTAGGTATTTCCAAACCTGTCCCCCTTTAGTTACAGCTTATCAAGAATCTTACTATGTATGAGAATGATGGGCCAGTTAGAATACTGTGGAGAGGAGTTTTGTTTTAAAGACTGATTACAATCTGTTGGGCTAATGCCTTGTTTCCAAGACTCCTACAAAACAGAATTATAACCTTTATATAAATATGTTAGAATTACTGGTTTCCAGCAGGCTCTAAATGGAATTGTCTAATGTGACCTACAAATCTATCAGTTATTCCCTTGAGTAGTATTTTCAAGTCTCAACTTAACTTTGAATTCCCCCAGCGGCGTAGCATGTCTTGGACTTGTGGAACTGGCTGAGCGGCAGCAGCTGCCAAGTCTAGCTCATTGTCAACCCCTTGTTCTCCTGACCATATCATACCCTGTAGTGCCGAAATCTGACACTGGAAACACTGAGGCTGAAAACAAAATTGCAGCCTTTAAAATGAAGAGGGCCAGGGCTTGTGCACAACAAACCCTTTGAAGACTTATATCTGCCATAGCTAGCACCAGGTCCACGGTTGTTAGAAGTTAGCGTGCCTTCCCTGACATTAGCAAAGCCACATCTATTTGCAGCAGCAATAGTTATGTCTCCTAAAATGTATTTGCTCAAAATACTTACCAAAACAGTTTCACAGACTGATTTTACAAACTGTGAATCAAATGCTGCCCTATTGGTGTTGAGGGGGGAAAAGTATGAAAACTGTCCTGTATTTCCAGTGTCATTGTAAGTTGAAAATTTTACACTCTTGTGAGCTGGGATAGGCCTGGCTGAAATGACATACCCTTCCCCATCTTCAGACAGCCAACATTTTGCAAGCTCAATGCTCTGCTTAATACCATACCGACTGGAAGGCAGTAGCTCTTCAACAGTTAACAGTACCACTGTGTAAAATGATGATAATGTCCCAGTGAAACAGTTGCGAAAATTTTAGGCAGAGAAGTACTTACGTGAAGCTGGACTTTGCTGAAAGTTATGGGATGCAAGCCCATACGGTCACATACACGGTGCTGCTCCTACAAACTGTCAGGTCTTAGTTACATTAACTTTTCCCGGCAGCAAAGGCTGCCTCAGTACCTCCTGTAGCCACTGATTCCCGACTCTGAAACTCCTTTCCCCCAAACTAATAGCACATGCTAACCTTGCATAACAGCGAGTTCCTTACCTCTAGGTGTGCTACATCAGATCATATTCTAATACAGCTTAGTCTTATCTCGTTACATTTTCTGAGATTTTCCTTCATAGTGGGTTCTTACCAGGCAAAGGATATCTTTGTCACAAAGTGATACGATGTCCAGTTCGTAAAAAAACAGACATACGTTTGATGGATGGTAGAGGGCTGCATAGTCCTGTGAATACATAAATAAGCTGTTTGCATTCTTATGTGTTTACATGGACAACTTGCCATAAGACAAGGTAAGGTACTCACGGTGAGTAACTGTGAGCAGTAGTTTATCTCTGTAAAAACGGAGTCAGCTGTTACCTATATGAGCACATACTACCAAATAGCTCATTCACTGTGAGCCACAACCCATAGACTGCAGCATAACTGGTTGAGCTGGTGAACTGAATTATCTCTTTCTATATTTAGGGGAGACTTTCAAAGGCTTTTAAGCAAATGCAAGTTCTATACCCAATTTCCACTGCTTTTCAGTGGGATCTGGGCCTCTCATACCGCTCCTGATCTTCTCCCTGGAAGCATTATGTCGGTGAAGCTAAATGACAGGAATAGTTGTGTTCTCCCATGGGCAGAGCTTTTCAAATTCTGAAGGATTAGATCAGGATGTAATCCTCTGAAGGATTACATAAGGAAAGCATCTTGCCTTAAACATCTTCAGACAGCAGATAGTTACACTGACTTGTTGTGCTCTTGTAGATATCAACGAATGCCTGAGCACCAACATGCCATGCCCGGCTGGGCAGATATGTATTAACACTGATGGCTCGTATACCTGCCAGCGAATGTCACCCAGCTGCGGCCGAGGTTATCATCTCAATGAAGACGGAACAAGATGCGTAGGTAAGTAACGGTTTTGAAGACAAAACCGGTTGAAGAAAATAAATCACATCTATGATTTATGTTTGCCGGTTTCTTGCACTTTGCCCAAGTTTTTCTCATTCCCACAGTCAATTCCTGATCCTGTTCCTTCCCTCACGGCAGTCCCAACAAGGGAAGAACGACAAGGATCCGCTCTCCGTCCTTCATATAAGTCACGAAACCCTATATTCTGAGAAGAGGAGAAATGAGAATCACCCCCCAAAAATGGCATTGTCTGTGACTATATTAGTGTATTGGAACAATGCTGTGTGGTCTCAAATCTCCCCAATACAGAGGTATAACATAATGCCCACTTAATGTCCCACAGAAGCCATTCAAGTAATGTTGAAAGGCATATATGCCTTTGGCTGGCTTTTAACCGAGAGATGTATTTTCGCATGTGTTTTCAATTTTTGTAAATGGCTTATCAAAGCACTACTGACTGTGGGTCTCTGGCATCTCACACTAGCTGAAGATCTGATCCGTGAATATTGAGTGTGCATAATAAAACAATTTTGCACCTGATTTCCTCCAAAGATTGTCTGATTTCCTGATTTCTTTTCCCTCCCAAGTCCATCAACGTTAACAGGACACCTGAGAGATAACCTGTTTCAGTAGGAATAGTTTGGATTTGTGACTCTGATCTTCTTGTGGAAGCTGAGAACTAGATCAAAATCTTGCTTTCTGTTTCAAAACACTTTATAACTACTAGGGGACACAGAAATACGTTAACATGTTGCTTTTCTCTCAACTTGCGTGCTCAGAAGTGTACTTTCAATCACTTCTCTCCTTTTTTTAGATGTGGATGAGTGCTCATCCTCTAGTCAGCCTTGTGGAGAAGGACATGTTTGTATAAATGCCCCAGGCAATTACCGTTGTGAGTGCAAATCTGGCTATTCTTTTGATGTCATCAGTAGAACTTGTATTGGTAAGTTGCACCTATCGACTTAAATACATGCAGCCGTGGCGTTTTAAAAAATGATCCCGTGTAAAGAGTGTTACTGCTCTCTGCGTAACCGCTTTCATCTGAATGTAAAATTGACTACTGTATTATTTGTATAAATCTAATACCATATTAAAGAGATGCTGATACTTCAAAGGAAGCTGTATTAGTATTGTCAACATGCTATCTGTTATCCTGTTAAAAGGTAAGATTATGAGAGTGCTTGTAATTGTTTTCTGTGATACTTTTATATGCACCTACAGCAACACATTCCTTTGGAAGATCAAAGCAACTTTCTTCTTTATAGATCTAATTCAATTATGCACTGGGGTGCTTCTAAATGAGCATTTTGAGCAAGTCCTTCCCTCTCTAGTATGAATTTTAGATCTGGAAAGTAAAAATCAAACTTTTATGACCACATTCTTGTCCAGACTACTACTTCAGTACTACTGAAGCCAGCCAATACAAAGACCTCTGTATCTATTTATCATTGCAGATATCAATGAATGCAGACGCTATCCAGGCCGCCTTTGTGCTCACAAGTGTGAGAATACTCCTGGTTCCTATTACTGCACTTGTACCATGGGATTCAAACTTTCAGCTGATGGCAGGTCATGTGAAGGTACGGCTTTCATATGCTTTGCTATATAGTGTGAGATACAGCTCATTGCTGTTTAGCTATTTCCATTTGATTTTAGCTTGTAAGACTGCACTGAAATGGCATGAGAAATCAATGATAAATCAAGGCCACTGTAGCCCACAGTTCCAACATACTGCCCTTTGGCTGGATGGCGCAGAGGTGTATGAGTCTGCATTTACTGTATTTTGAAGGGAGAGTCAGCTAGATCAGATTCAAGACCTTCAAAACCAGCCTTGCTGAATCCAGATACAAAAATGTAAGTGTGGTCCTAAAGACTCCCTCCAAGTCACACACCTTGAAGATTAACCTCTACTGCCAGACCCTGTTGAGAGTAATACACCCAAAGCCCCTTATTTCCAGCTTACTCAGTGACATGCATACCATCCTTTTTTAATTTAAAAAATTGTTTTCCAAAGTTTTGCCTTAGTCCTGTAATAGGAGTGATGAATATAGCAAGAAATTTGGGGCTCAGGTATATAATTTTGCATTTCAGATTTAAATGAGTGTGAGAGCAGCCCCTGTAGTCAAGAGTGTGCCAATGTGTATGGCTCCTATCAGTGTTACTGCCGCCGTGGCTTTCAACTTAGTGACATAGATGGGATTTCATGTGAAGGTAAGCATTATCGTTTTGCAGGTAGTGGATGAGCGAGCATTTCTTATTCTCACTGTAACATACATGAACAGTTCCATGTTCCTGTAATTGTTTCATTGTAATGTTTGATGCTCTTTGATATTTTCCTGTGTAACTATGAAACCTTATTGTCTTCCATCCATGTCCTAGTCTAGAAATGTCTCTGCTTGTGTGGTGTCAGTTTTGCTGTTTACACTGAATTGTAGCTTGGCATACTTTTTTAACTTACCAGAGTTTTTTTTTTTTTCCCTGAGGAACTAACAGAATTTATAGTCTTCAGCAAGTGAAGATAGAAACACATTTATATGTTACATATATAATACATAATCTTACTAGGTAGTATTTTATATATCCTCTGTTTGTGGCTGGTTCTGAACTAATATGTAAGTAAGTTTTCCTCAAATACAAGGAGGATGTGTGTGTGACCTCATGAACAAGATCCTGAATTTGGACTTAGGTCTCCAGGACTTACTAGACAGTAAGACCTTGGGCAGAACACCTCATCTCAATTTCCTTTTTGTAAGAACAAGGATAAAACTATTCCTCTCCCTCCCTTTTGTTAAGTACTATGATACACGTCACTGTAAAGTGCTTGCTCTCATCCATTTACTTTGTCTTTTGGGCCTTATATTGCTTTTAATTTTTTTCACACCTCCATTTATTCCTGACAGCCTTTATTGACTAGAGCCACCCCTATCTGATGATCTTTTTCCTTGCCCAGCAATTAGAATCATGAAATTGTGTTTGAAGCTCACAGCAGGAACACTGTACATGTGCACTTGGTTGAATGTCATGAACACATAGTAAATTAGTGGTGTTTTCTTCTTGCAGATATTGATGAATGTGCTTTACCTACTGGAGGGCATATCTGTTCCTTTCGATGTATTAATATTCCTGGAAGCTTTCAATGTACTTGTCCCTCCACTGGTTACAGGTTGGCACCCAATGCACGCAACTGCCAAGGTGAGTTCAATAACTGCAGGGATACCTAACTGGATTGTGGACTTCTGAAAAGTTCTAGCAAGTTTTTGTGTTCGAAAATATGCCTTTCCTACAATAATACAGGTAAAGCAGTAAACATCAGCTTGAAATCTGAAGAAACGAGTATTTTATAACAGATATGCAGGAAATTTCTCTTACGAACTATAGAATGCAGTGGAGAATACTTTTTATAACATTATTAAAGAATTCTAACAAATTCTGAAGGTGAAGATTCCCACTGTGAAATGGTATGATTTCGTTTAGCCAGTAAAAGGAAATATGCTGTAAACATTTCAGCAAATATTTAGGTCTTGTCCACTTAGTGGCACTGCTGCTCTTCCTTTTCCTGTTCTTGCCTGTTGTTTGGGTTAGTTTTCATCTTTTTTTCTTCTCCTGCCCTCCCCTTCCAATCCTGTAATAACATTTAATTGCATCCCATGTTCTGTAGTATCTAATATGATACTTTCATCATCTGGCACCTGCAAGTAGAGGAAAGGCATGTGTTTAATCCACTCACCTTTTTCCATTTGGCAGATATTGATGAGTGTGTTGCAGAAAGCCACAACTGCTCTTTCAATGAGACCTGCTTTAACATCCAGGGAGGCTTTCGCTGTCTGTCTTTGGAGTGTCCAGAAAATTACCGCAAGTCAGGAGATACGTAAGTACTTTCTTTTTCAAGGTTGAACAGCTTTTTGGTGGCATGATCTCCTTTATGTCATGCCGCTGCTGATTGAATACGTAACGGATTCTGGCAAATATGTATTTTGTTGGTAGGCCTACCCTATGTTTTGCACACACAGGTCTGGTCCCTTTCTCATGCCTCTGTTTCAGTCTAAGAAAAAGGTATTTCCTTAAAAAATGCTATATGTCAGTGGTTTGCATCATAATGATCTCTAGAGCCGTAAGCTGATGTTCTCTCTCTGGCTACCTTGCAGGCAACCTGTTAGGAAGGTTACGTTCGGCTTCAAAATTCTGACTTTCATTTCCTTCCACACATAGTCTTTCCTTACTATTACATTCCAATGAAAGAGTTCTTTTTAGGTCCCTCTCTGAATTCTTACCAGTGCTGTCGCAAAGCATTGCAAGAATGTCTTGTTTTTATCTTAGTACCATTTCACCTCTGTTAAAAAAGCTGGGAATCCTAGCAAGGGTGATATGTTAGCTGCTGCTCATATTTGTGTCTCTTAACCTCGCTCAGAGGAAGTCTGTGCATTCTGGTGTTGAAAATATGAGGCAGCTTTGGGAGGAGGGGCAGCTGGCAGCTCATTTATACCCATCAAATGGTGCTAGCAAAGCGGAGAAGTTGTTGCAAAATTTCAGTCGCATAGCTAGAGTTTGTGGCTGATGCGGATGAGTGCTTTTCCTCCCGCCCCGTGGCTTTATGGCCACCCTGTACTCCAGCGATTCTTCCAAAGGCTCCTCCACGGTCCCCTCCCTGTGCCCCATACCCAGGTAAGTGTATGCTCCACCAGCTAGGGAGGAAAGCTGATAAATCACATTTGTCATCAGCCTGCTATTGCTTTTCACAGTCAGTGTTCATATGCCCACCATCTTTTAGATGAAATTGAGTACTCTGTGCCTGTTCTGTAGAATGAAGCTAATGCTGATCTTCACCAGAGGGACTTTGTGGGCATTAGTTAGTTTTCATTTAAACCTTAATCTGTGAAGTGCCATATAAGTGGTACAGCAGATGTATTTGATCAGAATACTGTAGAGGCAGTTCACAGTATAAAAACAGATACTTATAAAATATGCTTGTATTCTGAGAAGTGTCAATAGTAATTACATTTTAAATTATATTTGTCACATCAATAAACAAGCAGTGCCTCGTGATGCGATATTCTCTTTATTTGTAATATTGTGGGTTCATTTGTATCCTAATTCGAAAAAAGTCATTTGCAATGGGCCACTAAGCAGAATTAGCAGATTTCTACTCTTATGGACATCCCTGAGCTGCAAAATTCAGTTTATAAGATACGCATCATACACACACATTCCATTTCATCTTCTTTCTTATCTATATTTTTAAGCACGTGTTGAAATTAATGGCTATTTGAGATGTAGGGGATCTTTTGGGGAAGTAGTAGAATGTCTGAATTGTTTTTCTGTGTCTGGGTTGTTGGGGCCCTGTAATGGCTTACTCTGCCTAACTTGAACAGACTCATAAGGAGAGATTCTTCTGATGTGCGAAGGCTATAATTAGGCTATGAGTCAGACACAAATCCTGTAGCTGCTCAGTGAAGTTCTAATTATTTTAATTCCTTGAGTTATTATCTTGTTGGATTTATTAGGTTTTTCCCTCTCAACAGCTACAGACACAGTTACTAAATTTATTGTCGAAAATGTGTTTGCATAAACCAAAGAGAATATGAGTTCATTATCTTTATTGCAAAAAGTCGAGTTAGTTCTATGGGAAGATAGGTACTCTCATATTTAGCCAGTATACGAGTATTATACCAGCATGCCAGAATCGGGGTTTATGTATTGGGTTACCTTGTGCCCATTGGCGAACTGTTTCATAAGACAGCTCTTTAGCACCCTTTTTACATCCAAACTAATTTACATATTCTTGAATCATTTATTTTTCGCATATATAACCCAACATAGCTGATAGCTAGCATATCTTCATTAGCTTTTGCATCATGATGACATTAAATCACTTTTTCACCCAACCTTGGGCCAGGACTCTAAAATCAAAATAGTTGGCTTCGCATAACATCATATCTATTACAGATACCATTTTCCTCTCCTTTTTAGTCAAAACACATTCCAGTTTCACCAACTTGGCACATCATAAGAAAGACAACACATTTTCCATTCCCGTCAAGTTGGCACCTCATGGGATTTTTTACCCTATTCTCCAATATTTTCTTTGGAACAGCTATAACTTAATAGGCCTCAGTCCTGCAAATCCAAGTTTGTTCATTCTTATTTTTCCTTGAAATCCTTATGTACAGGCAACAGCCCTCAGTGATCCAGAAGCTTCCTTACACAATACCTTTAAAGCAGAAATTTTTGCGTGGTGGTGGTTGCAGTGGTGATTGTCATCAGGTGAAGTAATCACAGGATCACCCCATGCTACAGGCTGAAAGCTCAGGGTGCTGTATAGATACTCTGAGCTTCAGGAGGAAACAGCCTGTGTAACCTTCCCCAAAGACCAGCAAAGTGCCTGGCATGGTCCGATCCTTAATGGTAACAATTTGAAGGTCTTACCTCCTTTGCTTAAATTCTGCTTTTTTTTTCCCCCTTGATCAGCCTATAGGCTTGGTATTTTTCCAAGGATAATTAAGATCTACTGCTACTCACAATAGGACTTAACTTGCTGTACTGCCTTGCCAAACACTTTTTGTTTTCAAATTGCATAACAATTAAATTCTCTTTATGCGACAGTGAAGTCTAACATTTGTAATATTTAAGCCAAGAAAAATAGTAAAAAAGATAAAAAAGTGGTTATGGCGGCGTGTCAGAAATGTGTGCTGCATTGAGCCAGATTGGGAAATATTTTTATATTCTAGACATGTCTGCGTATTATTAAGGTTGCCTGTCGCTTCTCATTATTAGGACCTGTTTTTAACTGCTTAGAATTTTGCCAAAACATAACCAACGGCTGAAATTCTACATGCCAGGTGTCTGACTCAGGCTCAAGTTTTGGCAAATTTCAGCCAAAGCAGTTCACTCATTTCCAAGAACAAGGGTAGGAAGGAACACATTGTTTTGTGTGTTTGAGACATTTTGGTGATTTTTTTTTTCCTTTTAACAGTTTGTTGTCATGTTTTGGAGCAGAAATCTGAAATTTGTTAGGAGATTACTTTTGCGCTTTTTGTCATCCTTACCAAAAACCTCTGAAACTTCTGAAATTACGGACTTTGTAAAATTGCGTTTAGCCTTTTTTCATATATCTTAGGAAATTAGGACCTTGATGGGTAATCTTAATCCACCCCTGTATGCCAAAACAGTCAGGTCTACCTGGAGTATTTTTGAGAGTTGTTTGTTTAACTTTTGCTTCAAGTCCTTGAATGATAACGATTTCGTAGCCTCAGTGGCAATCTGTCTTTGTGTTTGACTATCTTCCTCAGTGCAATTTAATTCTTCCTCTCAGTAGAGAGGTCTTTCTTTTTTAGCAACAAACAATTCTCTTCTGATTTAGCAGACCTGAGCCTCTTGCAGCTCTTTAAAGCAGTCTAAAATGTGCAGGCACCAGCTCCACAGACTGTCTGAGCCTGCTCCCACATATAGCCACAGGAAAGAAGCCCGATCTTCCCCCTAATGTCAGCTCCTGCCTGTCCTGCGCCAGGTGCTGCCGGCTCTGACAACCCCAGAGCCTGTTTCTTCTGTGCTTTCAAAGACCACCCAGACTCCATGGATAAGAAAGCTGTTTCTAGCAGGGGTGAGAGAAGAGCCAACTCGGTAAGAAGGAGAGGCGTACTTAGGGATACGGAGGCTGAACGTAGGGAGGGAAGGATCTGAAGGTATGGCCAGGTGAGGAGAATGAATCTGGGAGACGCTTGAGGGGTAGAAGGTGAAATTGGGTAAAATAATTTAGAGACAAGGGGGAAACCAACCACAGGAGTCAGGAGCTTGTGGTTCAGCGTGATTGATGCCAGATTTGGATGAAGACCGTCAGAGCAAGGAATAATTTGGGATGGCTGCACAAAGATACTGAGGGAAGGGGTGTGTGCTTTGGGGCTAGGGCTGTGAGGTAGAAACTGAGGGAACCAAGTGTCAGCCAGGAGAGGATGGAGCCAAGAAGAGGAGGATTGACACTGGCTGAGTAGACAGTCCTGGTGCCAAACTTTTGAGTGAGCAGGAAGGGCAGTAGGCAAGGAAAAAGGATAGGAAGAAGGAGCCAGCTTGGGAAAGACAGATGAAGGAGACAAGGATAGGACATATAGGCTCAGTGCTGAGGGCAAAATGAAGATGGGTCTGTCTCTTCTATAGCTTGAAAACTCCTTGAGACTTTCCAGCTCCAGACAGGAGGAACATGCAGAGTATTTGTCCATCCTGTCTACCGTACTGCTGTATACTGTATTCCCACCTGAGCCTGAAGTGGGACTCCAGATTCTCCTCTGGTTAAGAAATATCTGTGAAAACCAACCATCACTTGGTTTCATTCTCTTTAAGTTCCGGTTTAAGACAAAAACCACCTTCCCTAATGTAGAGATCCACGATGTGGTGATACGGCCTGGCCGATGGCTCATCTGGGCCTCAAGGTGCGGTGCAACCTGCTGAAACGAAATGCACACCGACGACAACATGAGCGAGTGCCTTTCTAGTGGAGTATATTCTAGGAGGTCCAGAAGATTGTTACAGCTCTCGAAATCTATAGGGTCGCATTTGAGAGATGTGTGGTGTATAGTTTGGTACGAATACTTGGTTAGTTGTTCAGCACGTTGAGATGGTTTCCCTGTATGAAGTAAATTACAAAGCATAAATCCTGCTAATAAAAAGTTCTTTTCCCTTCAGTGCATGAGGAATTGTTGTATACCACTCAACTGCTTTGGGCACAATGGAGTGAAAACCAGGCTCAGAAATTAACAGGAGGGAAGGCAGAAAATACTTTCTTCTCATTTCTCCGTTAGGAAATATATTCGTTATCTAAGGTGGAATCTCTCTAGTTTTGGTAGTTTTCTTTTCCTTTCTGAGTAACCAGTGTTTGGT